TCTGAGAAATCAGCATGGATTTCTCATTTTCTCAAAAATTGTCCGCTCAAAAATCATTTTTGAATCTGAGAAATCAGCATGGATTTCTCTTTTTCTCAAAAATTGTCCACTCAAAAATAGCGAGATACCAAATCATTCTTCATATCAGTGCAATGTGGTCCAAAAATTTAAAATACTCAAAATCAATTTTTGAGAATGAGTTTTCGCCTCTCCTGGAAACTTTTCTCAAAAATACTCAAAAATAATTTTTTAAAATGAGAATTTGGTATTTTCGTCGGGACTCTCAAAAATAGTCATGACCCCCCCCCCCCCCCCCCCCCCCCCCCCCCCTAAAATAAGTGAAATTGGGCACTTTGAGGATCAGGAACATAACACTAATATTTACGTGTAAATAGTAACCTCGAACAGTCAGGTTAAGATTAAATAAACCACAGGAGCTCACACAGGGGTGAAAGACACGTAACCTGCAAGCCAGGGTGTGATGAGGTCTTTACAACATACGACTCTCAGAACAAGGTTAGGAGGTTTACTGTTAGAGCTGGCTGGCAGAGTGGCAGGTTGCTGAGCTGGTGATCGAGAGGTTGCCAGTTCGAGTCTCAGCTAGGGCACCTTACTCAAGACTATTATTTACAATACTGTAGTTTCTCAGCTGTTTGAATTGATAGTATAAGATTATTGTTGTGTCTGAGTATATATCCTGGTATTTCAGCACGCACTGGCAGTTCACAGGACCAAATTTTACAAATGTAAGGAATGTGTGAAAACCAAGGAGTTCGCAACCCGATACAGTAAGTACTAAGTTACAGCGATTACTAAGTTACAGTGATTACTAAGTTATAGTAAGTACTAAGTTAGTCCTAGGACCGATCCTATTTATTCTGTATATCAACGATGACTTGAACAGCATTAGCTATAGTAACGGATTCAGCTTTGCAGACGACACAAAGCTGATTGGGGCTATCCGAGGAATGAGTATTGAGTAGTGTGGAGTTACTGCAAGATGATCTGAACATAGTCATCGAGTGGTCACGTGTTAACAACATGGAGCTACACGAACAGAAGTTTGAGGTTGTAAACTACCCCCTGAACGGATCAAAAGCTCTAAGAGAGCTCCCGTTCTACCCAGAGACTGTTGAGTATACTACACCAAAAGGACACTCAATATCACCACAGGAAACTGTCAGAGACCTTGGAGTGTATGTTAGCAGCAGTAGATCATGGGGTCCTCACATTGAGAAGACAGTTCAAGGAGCTAGAAAAATGGCGGCTTGGACATTGAGCGCCTTTAGAGACCGGTCACAAGTAGTCATATGCTGACTTTATACAAAAGCATGGTTCGCTCCAAGCTAGAGTACTGCTGTCCAGTCTGGAACCCTGCAAAAGTCACAGAGATACAAAAGCTGAAGACTGTACAGAGATCCTTTACTAGAAAGATATCTGGCTGCCGTGATCTCCAGTACTGGGACAGGCTGAAGAAGCTTACGTTGATGTCACTTCAGAGGCGGAGAGAGCGTTATTCTATTATTCATGTATGGAAGATTCTTAATGAACATGCTCCAAACGATACGGGCTTCGAGTTCAAGTCTCATCAAAGGCATGGTATTAAGGCAGAGATCCCAGCCATGAACAAAAGCGCACAGTTGTCTGTAAGAACAGATTACGACAACAGCTTTAGAGTTAGAGCAGCTCAGCTCTTCAACGTACGTACGATTACTAAGTTACAATAAGTACTAAGTTACAGTGATTACTAAGTTACAGTGATAACTAAGTTACAGTGATAACTAAGTTACAGTTATAACAAAGTTACAGTGATAACTAAGTTACAGTGATAACTAAGTTACAGTGATTACTAAGTTACAGTAAGTACTAAAATATATTGATTCCGTTTAAAACGGAAGATATAATATCATTGGACACATTAACCTGGTCTATCATACTATAATTAAAGTATGCTTTGTTACGAAGGATCTTGGTAACTGAGATGAGCTTCTTCTATATTATTTAATAGTAGTTTATTATTAGTAGTAGTATAATTTCACCTCAGGACTGACAAGGCACAAGCAAGAAGTACACACTAGACGACGATTTGCGTGCGTTCTCTGTCACTTGAAGTTCAAACAGAGTAAGCCAAGCTAGTTAAATTACATATTATATACACACAGGTGTTGGAAAGTGCTTATCTAAAATACTAAAATAAGGGTCTCATACTTCTGATCACATAATCTGTTAAACAGTTCAGATAATGTTGTGTATCAAAATGTCACTGTTTCCTTGCGAGATTGAACAATGTTTTATTCAGATAATTTGTAAATATAATAAGCTCTCAGTACTGTTTATTATACATATCATATAAGTTATGTTATAAGTAAAAATTCTTATCTGTCAAATTATTCATTTATCTTCTAGGAGGACATTTGAAGAGGCACCTTCGGCAGATCCATCATCATAAATGGTGAGCAAAATATTTTGTAAGACGATCATTTGGCACACTCTAGATGGTCACTTAACGGTCATTTGGCACACTCTAGATGGTCACTTAACGGTCATTTGGCACACTCTAGATGGTCACTTAACGGTCATTTGGCACACAAAATGATTCATGTATAATTTCTCCAGAGTCTAGTTTAGTTTCAAAATTCTCCTTAACCGATGAACTTAGCATCATTCTACGACATGTTATAGTAACATTCTCCCAATCTTAAAACGGTATTTTCTCTAATAACTATCGGAATAACAATTAACATATTCCATCTGGTCTTTATTCTTTTATGACAATCTAGGCAAACTATATATAAATATATAATGATAAATATATAATGATAAATATAAGAAAAATAAACTTATTGTTAAACTTGTCGGCATATTGGGATTTTAAACACGTTTACGAATGTTAACAATGAACAATATGAAGCTAAGGATGGGAATCATATATAGGCGTCATGAAATAAAACAGAAAATCGATCCTGCTGAAACTTTAAAGTTAGCTTGTATATCATTATATTTAATCTATAAATGAAATTTCAATGGTTGCAAAAATAGAGATGCCAACTTAGCAACTCTGCTGATTTCTAACTAAATTTGCCATTCGGAGACATTATATTAACAAGTTTTCACAACTTCACTATTTAATTTGCTGTGCTAATCAAGAGCTAACTAACTAGAAATCTTAGTTACTATCCTTGACAAAGAGAATGGTTTATAAGTTCTAAAGAAAACTTACTGAAATATATCAAAATATATGGCTTCAATAAGTATACTATCATTTAGTCTAGGTTATCTATTAAATTACATTTTGGAAATTAATTATGACGTATAAATGAGATTTACTAATTGACAAAAAGATGCCCAATATCAAACAAGTAATAGTAATAATTATACTCGAAACTTTCTAGTATTTAGATAGATAAATAATAGAGATACTTAATACGAAAAGGATGAGTATGTTAAATGTGACTTTGGCTACGAAATCGTTGTTATATTAACTTGACGCAGTCAATATAATAAACAAACAACAATACGATAAACTATGTATAATAAATAAACAATAATACAATAAACTAATAAAGAAATGAGAAATAACTCGCTCGGCTTTTGCTTGAATCATGAAACTTGATAACGGTGGCCTACTACCAAACAACATTGCGGAAAAAACGTTTTTATAAATTGAGTTATACATCTAAAAAATGAACTTGCCGAAAAATAAACATTCAATTATGAAGCAACCCTGTGCCGCCACGATGTTTCAACCGAACAGACACGCGTGAAATAATGTGCTCCACTCGCTTCATGGTTTCACACACCCCACAGTCAGTGTAGGTTTACTTTGGCGCGCTCGTTAGTCACGTGACTCAAGCTAGCCAATCAGGATGCAGCATTTCAGTCACGCGAGCCAATCATGAGCGCGCCAAATCGTCTGATGTTCGAACTTTCGAAGTCTCGAACGTTCGATCAATTGCATTTGGTTTGGTTTGGTAGCAGTAAAGGGGGACGCGTCCCGCGAGGTAATTGTTCTACAGTCGTAAAATCCTTTTTATCACCATTTATGAATCTGTAGGCTTCACTTCGCCCTGGGTAGCGAAAAGTGATGTCACGACCGTTCAAGATATGTTCACTTGGATGATGGATTGTTGAACACAGTTGACGGATTTAATATGCAGTATCATCAGCTTTTGAACTGTCTTAGATTTATCGCACCAAAGAATTTGTCTGCTCCGCTTATTAAATGAAATCATTTCTATCAGTTATAGTCACTGCTGGGTTCTAGCCTTAACCTTCCAGCCTTTTGAGCACCGACTCCTAGTTTGAACCCAATATTTTCCTCATTCTATGTGTCGAATTCATCATTAAACTTGACGGTATTAAGTGCCATTCACCAAGACTTAACCATTATCTTTGATGAATTTATCAATCAAATCACAGAATTTCGATCAAGCGTGCCAATGCCCAATAATTTGTGCCTAAAAAATTTTCTGCTTGGAACTGTCAGCATCGAAAGTTCACTGCTTTGATTTTGTTTCCAAATAACCCCAAAGTTGGTTTGTTCTTACGGAACCTCTACAGTGCAAGTGTAGCCTCGATCTCTTAACTAATCGCATTTAATCTTTATCGTATTTTAAAACTTTATCTGCAGAACATATCTGGTGAATTGTTTTACTGTACCTTTGAATTCTAGAACATCAGCTTGCTTCACGAAATGAACTGCCTAAATAGTACTGTTGTGTTTGGTAACACCCCCTGCCCGTGTATTTTTCGTGAATTGAACAAGAATTTGACTGCTCAGCTTTCCTTAAAATTCAAGGATTGTTGATTGTATTCAGATTGGTGCTGAGTTAACCTTACCTTTCATGAGTTTCACTGCCAACCACAGGTTTTTTTTTGCCATCTTGGTTATATCTCTTGGTCATTGGTGCCCAATGCCCATTTCTCTCTCTGCTGATTTCTGCGTACACCCCATTTTATAATTATATTTGATCGCCTTTCTAACTCACTGTGACAGATTTTGCCAGGCCATGTCAAATTCAGCCAATAAACCAAACACAATAAAGCTAGAAGTTGAAGAACCCCTTGAATCCCCTAAAGGAACTAAAGGTTCAGGAGATGTGAGTCCACTGAAGCCCCTGACTAAAGGAAGTGCTCGTAGAAGGAAGACCTCTGGAATGAAGCATGTGCGGTGTGATAACCTCTACTTCAGATCTAGCGGGAGGTTTACTTGGAGGGAGCTCTCCCTGAAAACTGCAAGGTAACAAGTTGGACTGTTTTAAGGATTGTTCAGAGCCAGGTGGTTATAGAATACCATGTCAATTTGCTTGGTTTCCCGTCATTTGCCGGACTAGGAAGCATTGTATACGTATGTATGACCGTATGTCATGGCTTTTGCGCCTACATTAGTTCTATTCTCCAAATAGCGAACATTTCGCGCCAACATTTTGAATCCAATCAACTTGATTGAAATTTTTTTTTTAATTTGGAAATTTTTCGGAAATTTTTTATTTCTTTAGCCTCCCTTGACCACCATAATTCGCGTCATCATACACAATGCACATTATTCATTCAATTTATTCATTTATCAATCATTTTCAAGTTATCATATTTATAACCTGTTAGATTTATTTTATATTCATGACATTTGCTCATTGCTGCAGTATAATGAAACGTCCCAATTTACAGGTTCAACACATGGGAACCAGAGTCTAACATACTGGATCAGAGGTTACTGGACGAGTTCGAAGATAGGTAGGCATTCTTCACATTTTAACCTAACCCATTTTATGTTGGAATTGTATACGCCTGTAAAGGGTGTTTCAAGAGTCCTGTAAGGATTTACTCTTTGATTATCATTTTCCTTTAAATTCTGGTACTTGTATCATCTGAAAATAAGACGTGTTTAAATAAAAATGGTTGTTGATTTTATGAAGGAGCAAAATTATAAAACGGGTTGAATGCGTCATTGAAATTATTTTCTAACAAATTGAATTGTTACTGTTGTGCTGAATTGTTTTTGTAAATGATTAATATAATTAGAAAGAAACTCAGCAACCTTAATAACCAAAGCACAAGAAATGCACGAAAAGCTCGAATGAGAAGAGTAGAATATCTCAAATCCATCGATGCTGACAAAATCTCTTTCAGATGCAGGAACTCCGGGGACCTCTTCATTAAAGAAGACGTAAGTAACTTTATCTGAGTTCGTTTGTTTTACTTTTAGTACTCGTTTATTTGTTTTTGTTTTGGGGATTTTGCTCGTTTTATTGTTAGAGCTGCTCGCAAGTTGTTCTGTTTGGCAGTGAAGTTGTTTGCCTTGTGTGATAATTGGCAGTGAATAAGCAGTTTAGTTTCTGAAGCTATTTTAGATTTGTCGTCATGAGCTAGCAGTCCATTCGTCATCACATTGTTTACATTCTTATAACGGAGAATAAACTGCTCGTCTAGTTTTGTCTTTTGCTTTTTTCAGTGATTTAATAGCGCTGAGGTTTAGTTAGAGACCATTATCAACTTATTCCACCAGCCCTTGTTCTTTACGTTACTTTTCATGCGTATGCTAAGTCTTTGACAGTTTAGTCATTTTAGACAAAATTCGTGATTTCTAGACTATTTTTGAAATAAAGTCCACTTTCTATAAGGGGTGAAATATGATATAAGATGTAATAAGCATTATGATATAATACCTTATTGCATGAAATGTATACCTCAATCAAGTGTTCCTCCAATGTTATGTAATAAGGTAAACGATAAACTTGTCATCACTTGAACGCGATTTGTTGTTGTGTGTTCATTCTAGTATCTGACAACTATTTCCTTCTATATAATTATGACACTCACATGACTGCAGAATTTATCACCTAGAATTTGAGAGCACCTGAAATGTAATCCTATTAATTAATTAGCAGTAATTACCCTTAATTAGGGTCTGATAAGCGTGCTAACAGGCGTCTAACAGGGGTCTAACAGCACTACAAAATATGTACACACTAATGAGCCAGTAATTAGGTAAGGAGCGCACTGTGAAGATAAGTATCCAATGACAAATACCGCCCCATTATTCCATATATGGTTACATGTTTTGTGTTTGTGGGGCTCCCCTCTTGTAAATTAATTCGACCTATCTGCAATGTTGTGTAAGCTCTATTTCTGCTCTCCCGGAGGAGCCGGTCTCTCTGCCCCCCTGTGTGTGTGTTAGTGTGTTTGTAACTGTCCCCCTACTCGTTTAAATCAACATCCTAGCTTCACACTCCCACCACCCTACTCTCTCTCTCTCTCTCTCTCTCTCTCTCTCTCTCTCTCTCTCTCTCTCTCTCTCTCTCTCTCTCTCTCTCTCTCTCTCTGTTCTAGTAGTAGCTGTGTGTATTAAACTGCTATAATTGCTGCACATGTAGACTAGTAGACTCGACCTGCACACGCGTATTATATTGTAAGCCTGCTTTGTGAGACGACTCAGAGAGAGGGAGCTTTGTTCGGCTTTGTAGTCTTAATTATAACTCTGCTGTTTTGTGCTCCCGGGATTTATAGTGCATTTTATAATAACTCGCCTGTTTTGTAGTGTATTTTACTATAACTCGCCTGTTTTGTAGTGTATTCTACTATAACTCGCCTGTTTTGTAGTGTATTTTACTATAACTCGCCTGTTTTGTAGTGTATTTTACTATAACTCGCCTGTTTTGTAGTGTATTTTACTATAACTCGCCTGTTTTGTAGTGTATTTTACTATAACTCGCCTGTTTTGTAGTGTATTTTACTATAACTCGCCTGTTTTGTAGTGTATTTTACTATAACTCGCCTGTTTTGTAGTGTATTTACTATAACTCGCCTGTTTTGTAGTGTATTTTACTATAACTCGCCTGTTTTGTAGTGTATTTTCTCTATAACTCGCCTGTTTTGTAGTGTATTTTACTATAACTCGCCTGTTTTGTAGTGTATTTTACTATAACTCGCCTGTTTTGTAGTGTATTTTACTATAACTCGCCTGTTTTGTAGTGTATTTTACTATAACTCGCCTGTTTTGTAGTGTATTTACTATAACTCGCCTGTTTTGTAGTGTATTTTACTATAACTCGCCTGTTTTGTAGTGTATTTTCTCTATAACTCGCCTGTTTTGTAGTGTATTTTACTATAACTCGCCTGTTTTGTAGTGTATTTTACTATAACTCGCCTGTTTTGTAGTGCATTTTATAATAACTCGCCTGTTTTGTAGTGTATTTTACTATAACTCGCCTGTTCTGTAGTGTATTTTACTATAACTCGCCTGTTTTGTAGTGTATTTTACTATAACTCGCCTGTTTTGTAGTGCATTTTATAATAACTCGCCTGTTTTGTAGTGTTTTTTACTATAACTCGCCTGTTTTGTTGTGTATTTTACTATAACTCGCCTGTTTTGTAGTGCATTTTATAATAACTCGCCTGTTTTGTAGTGTATTTTACTATAACTCGCCTGTTTTGTAGTGCATTTTATAATAACTCGCCTGTTTTGTAGTGTATTTTACTATAACTCGCCTGTTCTGTAGTGTATTTTACTATAACTCGCCTGTTTTGTAGTGTATTTACTATAACTCGCCTGTTTTGTAGTGTATTTTACTATAACTCGCCTGTTTTGTAGTGTATTTTACTATAACTCGCCTGTTTTGTGGTGTATTTTACTAAAACTGGCCTGTTTTGTAGTGTATTTTACTAAAACTGGCCTGTTTTGTAGTGTATTTTACTATAACTTGCCTGTTTTGTAGTGTATTTTTCTATAACTCGCCTGTTTTGTAGTATAAGTTGACAGTTAGATAGTTAAACATATTACCACCTCCCTCCTGTTCTCCATTGACATGTTCCCTGTGTACTGAGTGTATTGCAACTGTACTACAACAGTGTATTTAATAACTGTATCCCTGGAATCTGTCACATATTTCCATCTCATGTCAGCACTTGCAGAGCTCGTACAGTCCTGTTATATACAGTGCTTTATTGTATCTCTGTAAACTGTACTTGTAACTGCAGCTAGATATTAGTATTTAGTATACACCTCACAATACCTCTTTGTTTGCAGCAATACTACAGCTCTTGTAGCTCGTACAGCTTGTACAGCTTGTAGAGTTTCTAAAGCTTGTATAACCAGTGTCTTATTGTGTTTGACTAGTGCTCACTATCTTGCTCGCTGTATGTCATGCTCTGCAGCGTAGAAAGTAAGACAGATCTTAGTGTTTTGCTTGTGTTGAAGGTGTGCATCACGATGCTGGTCTGTGCAGCCGCTCTCTGTTAGTGCAGCTCTCTGCACAGCCACTAGTTTACCGTCAGCTACACATTAGCTTCTGTTTTAAACACTAGATTAACTCTTATTTAGATTTCATGTTTGCTGTCTCTCGTTGTCAACAAAGCAGTTATTTTGACGAATGGTGGTTAACAGTTGTGAAATGAAACACCGTGTCTCACTGTCTCACTGTCTCACGGCTACAACCCCTCCTGAGGTCACCTATAAGATCTCTATTTTAACTAAGGTATCCATTACAATACCCTGACTAAAGTATTTCTCTGTTGTTGAAGTACAGAATTCTGTGCTGTGTCCCAGCTTATAGGAGCCGATCATATTACATAACATTATGTACAAACCCACCCGTCCATTTCACTAGCATTTGTATTGTTAGCTGATATTGAGACTCTCTCCAGTCGTGTAACATGTGTTAGATTCAGACCCGACCCTGCAGTATGGGTATGTTTTATCACCAACATATGTAGTTTGTAGAAACTTTCTCTGATTATCATCCTGCTCAGGGTGTACTCATTTAGAAATGGTGTTTTTTAGAATCTTTCAATATATTATTCAGCCAATAAAATACCCATTAAAATCAATCCAATCATTACCGGACCACTTTTGATAGATTTTTCGTTCTAAAGTACGTTTATTAGTAGTACAGTTTTCTGAAGTTGCTAGCATTTCAAGTAGAAATACCGTGAGACCCTCTATCATTATTATCAGATATCTCAACCGCCAATTCTAAATCGTTCCGCCAATTCTAAATCGTTCCACTATACTCTATAGTTAGATTAGAGGACGTTCCCTAACTCTAGAGCCCCTGCTCCTCAAGAGCGATATCGTGGGATTATTTAAAGTTTCAATTGGATTAGTTGTGATAAGACCGTCGCTAAACTATACCCATATTCTTACATTTATTACTGATTATGCTACGGATGCAGATTGCAATGCTCTAAAGTTTTTCATTGCTTGTAAAGTAGCGTTATTATTATTTCAGTCCACCTTGCTCCTCCTAGTATACCTGATCTGATTCCGTGTTAATATCTCATTAATTAAATATATCTACATTACCCTCCATTTCACCTGTACCCAACTGTAGGTATACGACACAGAGATGTCAGATACTGAGAACAACGAGCGCATTGCTAACAGGAGATCGGCTCCAGTTGTGCGCAGCACAGCAAAGCGCACCAAGAAGAAGCGCACTACCAGATCATCGTTCAAGTTGCGGGGCTCACGAGAGAAGCGTGCCCCTGTGGTGAAGTACGAGGAAATAGAGGATGAAGTGGAAGAGAAACTGTCTGACGAGGAGGAGGATCTGGAGGAGGGGGAGAAGAAGGAGGAGAAAGAGGAGGAAGTGAAGGAGGAGTTAACATTAGAAGAAGAGGAGGAGAAGGAGGAAGAAGCACCAGAATCTAGTGTATCAGACCAAGAAGCCGGCTCGTCAGCAGCCAGTCCGGTGCGCAATCTCCGCAACAAGAAAGTAGCTAAACCCATCTCCCTGAGTACAGCCAAAAAGCGCACCCCTTCCAGCAAGTTCTCCAGTCTGATGAAAAGGAGCAGGAAACAAGCCCAGTCGTACGGAATGCAGTTCAGCCGCAAGGAGCTGTCTAATACCAGCGTCTCACCTACCGCATCCTCTGCCAAGTTGTCCTCTGAAGATGGAGATGACCAGGTAGCCACCTTCACGTGCTGTAGCCTAACCTTATCTTTGCATGATTACCTTGTCTTATCTCTGCTAATCAATTCTTTAATTAACCTCTTGTTGTTAAAATCATTGTTTTGTGCCCCCTTTCTTCCCCCGTGTGTGGTCTTACCCTACATTTCTGATTCCAAAGTGATTCTTTATGTGTACTGCTCTGAGTACTTATTATAAGTTCTTTTGCTGTGTTCTTGCTGCACCTTTTGTATTGAAAATGTACAATTAATGTGGATATGATCATAACTTATATATGGCTGATTGGATTACCCTTTGCTGTTGTTATCTAATTTATATAAGAGTGTGCGTGTAATTCAATAATCGCTTAATCAAGAAAACGGTTAAAGTTATAGGACTGGTTTTTGCCGGCAAAACCCTCTAAGAAGCTAAATAATTAAATTTTTTTAGCTCGGCCAAGTGGTTTTGTCGATGGTTTTGTACTCAGTATGATACTAAAATTTCTCACTTCCAATTCCCCCTTTCTATCTCTCTCTCTCTCCTCCCATTACAGCCTAATTACCTGTAATAAAATTACGGAATGAGCCCGCAGGCCGCCTGAGAGTATATTACAACATATTATATTTTATATCACTACATAATAATGTAATTTGGCAGTCGAACAGCAAGATAAATATAAATATAATGAGGGGCTATTGAATACAACACTCCGATAATTAGATCGGAACATTTTACCTCAATTTTCACTAGCCAGTAACAGTAGACAGGCTATGCACGTGCTCAATTCCCGCCAATCATTCCAAATGTTGCACCCTTTCGGCGTTCACAGGGAATGTTTGTTAAGTGCCCTGATCGCAGAGCACTGTAGTTATCTTTACTCTCGGAATTTTGTTATTGGCTCGGTTTTGTGTTTCTTAAAATTTGACAGACTTATCTTGATTCTTGATTGATCGGTCATTTTGTTGCCAGCTGATGCCTAGAGAGAATAATGGCAGGGGTAGGGGGATTAGGAGACGCCGGGGAACAGGAAGCTTTAGTAGAACTGTTAGAAAACGGAAACAGCGTCGTATCAGGCTCGATAATGAATCAGCAGAGCAAACAGAGCAGAAAAGGGAGCAAGATAGGTTGCGTCACAGATACGTGAGGGCACTTAGAGTTTACTTTAAATGTGGATTGAGCGGGTTCATAATTTTGCACCGTTTTAACTGCAACAGTGGAATCCCGGCCGAAGGCCGGGTTGCACTAGTTAATATATTAGCCGGTTAAGTGTAGTGATCAAGATACTGGAACTGAATCATATCTGCAATCAAATAAAATAATGATGTCCTCTGATTTTCATGATCTTAAATCCGATTATCATAATTGTAAAGCTTTACAATAAAACATCTGACTCCGGACCAGTTTAAAGTCCAAACCAACCAAAGTTTTGCTTGGAACAATTTGATCCCAAACTTAATGCTCAGTTTTTAATTGTAACAATTCCAGGTCCGGAATTTAACTGATCTGGAGTTCGTTGTTTCACTTAGCCAAGTACCTGTAGTTACCTTTATGTCTGTTTGCAGGTTGGATCTGACGAGCCTACCAGCGTGAAGATAGTGAAGACAAAAGAGCAGCCAAAACAGAAGAAGAAGAGAGCAGTGATCTTGTCAGAGGAATCTGGAGACTCGGGGAGAAGGAGAGACAGAAGAACGGATCAGAGGAGGGTGGAGACGAGGAGCTCAATATGGTGAGAGTTGGTTTATAGTCATTGTTTATCTAGGACATTTGTATACTGTGTGTTAGGGGGGAGGATTCTCTTTTTTATTTGGGTGGTTTCTATTGTTTTCGGATAGGGGTATAACTATCATGTCATCAAATTATCCCCTCCCCTACGTCAGCAATCCCCTCCATAGACCCGTTGTAATTGGTGCACTAAATCCTCATACCCCGACACTGTTAGAAAACTTATCTTATACGATGTGTCCAAACGTATTTGGTGTCTGTCCAATAGACTGAAATATGATCCCAGGAATGTCACAAAAATGTCTTCGTGTAGTTGAATTCATATTATTATTAATGTGCGATGTCTTGATTATGACAGTAATGAAACCAACACTGTTTGGGGCATAAAATCTTAACCACAATTCACAAGATTACACACAAGATAACACACGAGATTACTCTGCTGAATTTTAACATCTAGGAAGCAGAAAGGCTGTATATCTTTAATTTTATTTGCCATTTAAATCTATTAATACCTGCGGAATGTCAGCTGCTCAACCAATAGAACTCCAGCTCCCAGATCACATGCAAATAACCAGCCAACCCGGGAAGAGGAACCTAATTCCCGGACATGAATGTAGGAGGTGGGCTGCTCTATTACTTAACTCTCTGCTTGCTCTTTGTTGTCTGGGTTTCTACTTGTTTTACATGACGTGAGAGGTTACACAGTTCCTGTATTAGTGCCCGCTAACATATATCATTTAGAGTTATTCTATGATTACACTTCTGAATTCTATGATTAAAAGTGCTCCTTTATAAAGATCACACTTCTGGAGCCTTTATAAGAATCGTAATATTGTGATGTAATGGCGCTTTTCTCGTTTTGATTTCGTTAATTTATACTTGTGGCAGCTATGGCCTCTGTGGTAGATATTACTCCACTGGAACCCGTGAAACAAATAAAGAGGAGGAGACGGAATAAGATTGGAAGTAACCACGAACAGAAAGGACAGGGCCGAGAGAAGAGACCGAACATGACGGAAGAGGAGCAAGAGATTGAGATGGCAGACTCTTGGCAAAGGAGGCAGGATAATGTCAGTAGTATCTCTGAGTGGAAAAACAAGGCTCCTTTCTCAGTGTTCAGTGGAGACAATGTTCTGTTTCAGACAGCTGCTAAATCAACGCCTGTTCACAGCACTGAGGTCCACAGAGATAAAAACAACCAGTCAGAGAGTTCTGAGCTAGAGCCGTGTGGGAGTGGGACAGGGAAAGAGGAGGAGACTGGAACGAGGAGAGAGGAGGAGGCAGGAACAAGGAGAGAGGAGGAGGCTGAAAAGGGGGTTGTTGGGAGGAAGGAGGATGTAAAGACGGGGTTCAGCTGGAAACTCTCCCAAGGAAAGACCCGGATAGTGGTTCTGAGCCCTCTTTCAGTACCACGCACCTGCTAAATCACCTGCTAAATCTAAGCGCAGATATAGGGTAAAAGTTTAGTTTATACTTTATAATAATAAGTTTATTACTTATATAATATGGTATTTGAATGACGGATAATCTTCTTTTTACTATTCTACTTTCCTTAGTTCCGTCATTCATCTTGAAGCTTGATAATAACAACATGATGTATCTTTTAAATTATGTGAATCTTCAAATGTTAAAATATTCCACACAAACGTTTTCATCAAGCTGTAGTGACAACATCTCAGTTGAAGGAATGTAGCCGTAACTTGTATAGCAAAATGTAACAGGCTGATCAGACCAAATTACTTCGGAATCATGATAATTACACCTAGTACACACAGTACACACCTCTTTCATGTGTCTTATAACTCATTAAAGCTTTGAAATCCGTATATAATCTGTATATCTCTGAATATCAAAAGAGAACCTGCACATGGGAATGTGGAGCTAATATTATATAGGAAGTAGAATTGGTCCCATCCGGTTATCCTCTCCTTTATCTGGTATGTTTACTTATGTAACACTGGCCAATCAGGAGCAGTACCTGAGGACACGTGATATTAGATATAGGGTTCCTCTGATAAAGTTCAGATCTGTGTGGAATCGATAACTTTCTTGTTGTTGGCTTGTGTGTTATTTTTAAGGTTAAACAAAATGTTTTTGTGACTAGCATGTGTGCGATTGGGGAGTGCCCAGCAGTAAGTGGTTGGAGCCACTGGGTGTGTCTCTTTTGACTCTAAAATCAGCTGGTGTTTCGCACTATGTAGGGTGGTATCTGATCATAAAATTTCAACACTAACTGCCATTTTTGGCAATAAGTGGTGCTTTTCCTCCGAAAATATGGTTTACCTATAACTGTTAATGTTAGAAACTACTGTAATTTGAACAAGTCTAACCCACCGGGCACCTTGCTTATCTTCCTTATTGTGGTGTGTTTAGACTTGATTCATATCAGTCAACAGGTACTGGGGTCTATTTTTCTTGTCATTAACAGTCTCTATTTTGTTTTCGGTACATTTTAGTTTTATTTGGGTATATTTCGCTTTTAATGTCGTTTTATTTCAGTTTTAGTTTTATTTCAGTTTTAGTTTTATTTCAGTTTCATATCAGAACTTTGCTGATGTTTCCTTTTCTTTATTATCTTATTTCGACAAACTTTAAATATTAGTATGGTTGGGAGAGGAGGAGGTAGGACGAGGAGAATAAGAGGATCAGAATTCAGATATCTCTTCTCCAGAGCCACCAGACGAATACGAGGAGACCAAATGAGACCTAATGAGACCAAATGAGACCTAATGAGACCTAATGAGACCAAATGAGACCAAATGAGACCAAATGAGACCAAATGAGACCTAATGAGACCTAATGAGACCAAATGAGACCAAATGAGACCAAATGAGACCAAATGAGACGAGCAAACGAAACTGCTGAGCAAACAGAGGAAAAGCTACAGTAGATTATATCATTATCATAACCCCATTCCCCGCTCTACTTTCATGCTGGACAGTGATAACAGAGATCTAGTTTTAGGATCTCTTTTTTACATATCTGATGAGGCTATTGAAGCCATGGATGAGATCTATCAAACCTTCATTCCTCGTCAAACGGACGTCAGAAAAACAGATTGAGCTATTAGAAGAGTGGGTGGGCAGGTACTTGCAGTGTGTTAAAGTTTCTCAGATGGAAAGGATAAGGAATTTAAATTGGCTAATGATATCACATTTGTACAGGAGGCTAGAAGGAGTATCTTCAATCTTTATTTGATTAATTGTTGAAACCAGTTGCTAATTGTAGGTCACGTGAACTAACCTCGGCCTCTTGTGGAATTAAGGTTATTCAATCAGTACTTGCAACATAGATGATAGAATACCTGCAGTGCATGCACCAGCCGTCTCCAGCAAACGACCTCGATCTCTGGACGTCTCCAGCAAACATGTAACATCTGGGTCTTTTTGTGTCATGACAGTTATAGTGTTCTTTTATACTTCAACTATTAAAACTGTTTGAATATTAAGTTTTTCACCTCCACTGTTTTTCCAAACCCTCAGCCTGCCCCAGTACCCCAATCCTTAATGCTTAACCTGATGTTGGATAAAGATAATATAGTCATAGTGGGGACATACCAACACGGGTTGGGTAGACAGCATATTGGTCAATGATAAAACTTAAAAGTATGTTTTATTGAGCAGTTTCTCACAAACCCTAACCCCTAATTCCTCAGAAGAGGAAGCGGCCGGCCCGATCCTGCGCAGTACCCTCTGGTTTCTGGGACCCTGTAGCAGTGAAGATAGACAGTGGTATAGACTCCCACAGCGAGAACGAGGACCACAGTATCAAGGAGGAGGACATTATACGTGCTCAGAGGAGGATGAAGAACTTTGAACCTGCTCCTTCTAACCATGAGACCTGCTACACTGAGACCCCCACTGTAAGCGTACTTTATTTATAGTTCCACTTTTAATGTTAGTAATTCATTCTACTTCTTAAGTTGGGTAAGTTGGCTTGAAATGTATTTCTAATCCTAATTTGCGACTTATTTGTAATTTTACATTCCGAAATTAGCGAATAACGTGTTTTATTTCACAGGAGTCGACTAACGGCTGTATAAACGATTTGGGGGACTCCGTGTTTCCCAAGAAGAAGTTCTGTTTACGACCCCCCACTCTGGATCTCTCCAAGAGACCTATCTCAGACTTTGTCTTCAAGATTGACGGTTTGTTCAAATACATCCTTCTCCTGAAAATTCGCTCTCATAAAGTTAACATTATTATGTTGACCTCAAATATGATGTACATATTCAATGCTGTGTTTGTATATAACTAGAATTTGTTTATGTAATCATCACAAGGTTAATTTAATGACACGTTAATTTAATGACACGTGGCTAAAACCACGTGACTAAAACCTATTATCTCAGATCTGTGGGCCGATAAAGTGCACGAATCTTCGGTCAAAGCTCTTGGCTACAGTGTCAAGATCTTCGAGTGCAAATCAGCCAAAACTCTCTTCTCAAACTCAAAGAAATCTACCAAACTGAAAACAGAAGAATCAAATCAGGAACAACTTGGAACATAAAACGAAAACAATTTACCGTCGAATTCAGTTCGTCGGAATGTTCTAGATCGAGACTGGTTTTTATTCAAAATTGTTGTTTGTTGACCACAAGAAGAGTTGATGAAGTTGCTGTGCGCTTGACAGTAAGTTAACGGACTTAGTAATGTTTCTGCTATGTTTTATTTTACTGAATAACTCAGTTACGGGCTGCAATGAAATGATTATTGTTTGAAAGCCTACAAGACGTTAGGTGTGTTTGTTTTTATTATTTAGTTGTTTGTAACTGCTGGCCAGATTTAATCGAACCGAGAACAGAAAGTATTCAGGAATGTATCGTTGCAATGATTTGTCGTTGTTTGGTCATGTCGGAATTGAATTTTTTGGGAAAAACAATTTATAGTTAGTTGACTGAACAGATGTTTCTGATTGATTGTTTTTGATTAATTTCCTGTCAAGTTTTGATAAGATTTTGTTCAAGTTTTAGTTCTGAGCTATTGCCTGTATCCTTGGCAGTAATCAAAGTGGCAGTGGAAAAGCCTATGGATGTGTTGACGCATTTTTTCATAATCACGATTAGACAGATTAATTTTGATTGAACTTTTTTAATTGTTATTATTATTTTGGTTAATTGTTTTCCTATGAAAGTGAAGACTTGTTTTATTTAGACGTCAACTTTCTATTTCGTGCGGGCGTTTGTCTCACTAAACAGGCTACTTCCGGTCTTACTCCTTAATAATAAATGATTATGGATTAGCCACAACCAAATAAGCGTGAGAAAATGTTTCTCTAATTCCTCAGCGAACTGCTGGCATTGGCATTTTCAATGTTAGTCGCAGCCCGAACTTATATTGTAAAAATATTAATTTTCAATTTGTAAGTTACAAATTGAAATACAATAGTATCTGAGATCAATTGTCGATTGTCGCGGTACAATTGGGACTTTTTCGTTAATTCTGCCAAAATTTCCGGATTTTTATAATTTATAAAAATACGAGTTTAACCACCCGGCCCCCTCCCCTTGTCCGGATTTATCCGAAATTCTAAAACCATCCCCCTAGCTCCGTCCCTATTTGCCGGACGTCCTAAGAAGATGGCCCCAAAGTGGCGCGCGCTAATTCAAAAATTTTAGAAGAGTATTTGATTCACGATGTGAATTCTTCGAGCGTGCTAAATCACTCTACAGTCGATCTTCTGGTTGTGATAAACATTGTTTGATGCGCGGCGCAGCCCATGCAGTAGTGCATTGCGCTACATAACAAAACAAAGATCATCCAGGCCATCGAATTCGAATGTCGAATGGTCTTGTCAGATCACTTAATCATTGATGATTGATTGATACAGCTTTTTACCGTACCAGTGCAGGGGTTGTCATACGTTGTATGACCCGCCGCGCACGAAGTGCGCGGCTCCCCCTGTAGCGTCGAAGACGCTACAGTGAAGCTATAGTGAAGCGACCGTGGGGGTCACCACGTGATACAATGCAGGGGAGTATTGTATTTTAATTATATGTTATTGTTGTGATTTAATTAATTCGGAATCAGCGTTCAAAATAAATAATCCAACAATGCTTCTTGCAACCACATTTAATCTTTGTTAGATAAGCGAAATGCGCTATTAGGCCGCGCCGTGGCCGAGGCCCGAGCTGCAAAGAATTTACAAAGTCAATCAAAATTCGTTAATACACTTTGTTTAACGGGTGATACTCGTAAAATATTTGTTTCATTATCGTCGACGAGTCCAACTCGGCGCGCGTCTTAGTATAAGTTATAAACATACAACACTTTGTATACTTTTTAATTTATTTACTTTAATTGACGATGTCAATTCTTCGCAGCTCGGCGAGGCTCAATAGCGCATTTTGTCGATCTAGCGAGAAATTGATGAACTCCAGCAAAATACGCGCCAAAGACTCGCCGAGTCGCCGTTTTTGAATGATGTCAACGATTACTTTGATCACACTGATACCGTTATAATTTAGCGTAACCGGTGATAGTCTGAAAAGGAAAACACATCTTTGAATTACAAAGCAAGAAGTATACGTTTGCAGGATTGACTTTGAAGGTAGTGCTATAAACTTTCGTGCAAACTTTCGACTGAAAGGACGTGTAATTAATAATAAATTTTGGTTGCGAGAAGCATAATTGAGTGCGCTGCGCGGCCCAGTAACGCATCGCGCTACAAACTTTTACTCTATAGCACGCCAATCCAAATGCACGGCGCTCTTTTCGAGTAAGGTTGATGGTGGCTGGGGATTTTTGGGCATATTTACCATTTTTCGTATGAGCACATTGCACATTCATTTGACATTGGAAATGAAAACTATACTTTTTGCCGTCATGACGATGATTTGCGTTTTGCAATTGTAATGTATACCATTTTGATTCGCGATGTCAATCCTTCACAGCTCGTCGAAGCCCATTGGTGGTTGTGAAAAGTATTATTGGCGCGGCGGCGCGGCCCAGCTAGTAGTGCATCACGCTATTATATAACAATAACAGTATACCATTATAATTAACTTATTTAAAATTACCTGGGACCTTAGGCTATAACGTTCATAGAAATTTGGTGGAATTTGTAGCGCAATGCGTTACTGTGCCGCTTCGCCCACTCAATGAGGATTCTCTCTAGATCGGCGAGATGCGCTACTTTGTGCCACACCGAGCAGAGATGAATTGACATCGTCAATTAAGGTGGAATGAAATACTTGAGGCTGAGCGTTTTCCAGTATATGTGCAATGCGCTTCGAAAAAAATCGGTAGATCTGTTTTTGTTGCTAAACTTTGTATACCTTCAATCCATAATCTTTCGCGCGCGAAAAGAGGTATACAAAGAGTGTACATTTTTTTAAATTTGCAAAATGTTCGCCTCGTAAAAATTAACGGGTGGTACTCGTAAAATATTTGTTCCGAATATTGTTCCAAGACCGTCCACGAGTCCAACATGATATAACATGAGCAAAAGTAGTTTTCAAAAAAACTTTGAAAATTGTGACTCATGTTCGGTAAAAAACCTGAAAAATATTTAACAATTTTTCTTCAAGCATTTTTAGAAACCTAAATCATAAATTAAAAAGTTGGCTCTTTTTGGTTGTATGACCCGCCGCGCACAAGTGCGCGGCTCCCCCTGTATCGTCGAAACTCCACTATAGTGAAGCGACAGTGGGGGTCACCACGTGATACAACTTTTTGGCCCCTTGCCCAGATTTATAGGGGGTGATGGCCTGGCCCCTGCCCACCTGCTTCCTACACCCCTGGCATTTGTATCACGTTGCAACCCCCACGGTCGTTTCACTACATAAGATGGAAACTATTTCTATGGAGGAAATGGAAAACCTTTGATTAAATCTCAATTTTCTCCATTCTAAGCCATTGTGGTCCGGTTTGGTCGTTCCGGGCCAAAATATAATATATCTTCAACATAATCAAAACATTATTAATCACGTGAGGCAGAAAACTGCAATCTTTATACTCCTAAATCAAGATCTCACAAGGAGTTTAACTATCTAGGAACTAAGGCCTGGAACATATTACCAAAGTCCCTTAGAGAGTGTGACGACGTTAAGAAATTTTCTAAGTTATACAAAGAAACTCTTATGAATATGGTGCTAACTGATGAGAATTACCAAGGGGATAACTCTTACGATAAATTCATGATCCCACCCAACACTAGCCAATGTATCTAGGCAGTTAAGTTATTTCAGTAAAGTTATCTCAGTACATAAGTGAATCCAATCTATCCCCTGCAATCAAAGTATTTCCATGCCTATTAAGCTATTACAGGTAATTAGGAACATCAGTGGAAAGGTGCACTGTCAATCATTATTGCTCCATACCTCCAGTCCTCCTGTTATGTGCAATTCTCACTGCTATGTATGCTCCTCATTTGTATCAATTATATTGATGCTACATTGTTATTGAATATGAAATAATTTTCAACCGTATTAATTTATTAACTTATTGTAAATAGCAAGTTTGACAAAGGGATTACGTTTATTTTACCCGGAGTTCGTTTAAGTTTAGTATTGTAAATAGTTAATTTGACGAAGGGAATACGTCTATTTTACCCTGAGTTATGTTTTAGTTCAATCTTGACACAATTTTAAAATTACAATTTAATTATTTTATATATATGTATTGTCCATAACTAGGGTGGCCTGCTAACAGAACCATGATCTGCCTTGATTCATCCTTCAGCACAGAGAAAAGCTCCTTTTTTATACATTATGATTACAGAGGATCTGATATTTAGATATATATTGCTGTGCTGTAAAAATTGACTTTATTTATTTATTTATTTATTATTAAACGTCATCCGTTTTGCATTCATAATATTTTTTATATAAAATTATTCAAACAATATACACATAATATAGCAATGACCCTATTATATATAAAATCAACCCTTAAAGAATTCAAAAAATTCCCTTAACAATCAAAAATTACCCTTGGCCTTGTGGCTCCAAGTTAAGATCTAGACTGTTTATATCAACAATGTTTTTTCTTGCACCATAATAGACTGTCGTCTGACCTAGCCCTGGCATTGGTTTGTATTGGTGTCCGACAACTTTAACCAATTTTTACCAAGTTCATATACAGTTAAACTTAACAGGGCACCCGATCAGCGAATTTTTGGTTCAACCTAAACTCAAAAAAACAACAATTGTCTTAATTGTCATAATTTTTTCCATTTCATCCTTTTGTAAAAAGGCAATAGCAAATAGTGAAAGGTTACGAATGGACGTTTTTGCAGAAAAACGTGGATTTTGAAGATAGGGGTAGGCGGGTCTGATTTTCGTGTTCTGTCCTTCCGTTAGTAACCATGTCAACTTGCCGCGCGTACACGCGCGAGGATTGCTTGCGGAGATGTGGTGTGTAGCTAGTCTGTGGTCAATGAATGTGCGGCACAAGCGTATTTTAATGTATACTTGTAGCGCGATGCATTACTGTGCCGCGCCGCGCACTCAATGAGGCTTCTCACAGCGACACACAGCTAGATCGGCGAAATGCGCTACTGTGCCTCGCCGAGCTGCGATGAATTGACATCGTCAATTAAAATGTATACTATGTAATTTAAAGTATTATGTAATAAGCCTAACTTGTACGTGGCACGCGTAGTGTACTGATGTTTCAATATTATTATTATAAGGTGAGCTGATTAGAGCTTATATTAATAGTTATAGTGAGTGTGGAATGGACATCTAGCGTCCGCCAAAACAAAACAACGGGCGCAATTCTTGTTACTTTACTTTACTTTACTTTATCTCCACCGAAAGCACACTCCCCAAATTGCGCACATTGCAGTAACTTCTTTCAAATTTCACGAATCGAGATTAAATTTTTTGCCATGTATTCAGAATTAATATGTGCACTTATACAAATCACTTACAATACTTCTGAAAGAGAATGACAAGCTCAAATAGGCTAAGTTGTCCAATTTCTCCGTGAAAAGCACAATAGCGTGAGTGGTGAGTAGCTTTTGTCAAGATGTCTCGAAAGTGATTTTAAACGATTCCCCGTTCAAGTTTGGTCAGAGTACGTCAACTTAGTGCATAATCAAGCAAGTTAAAGACATATTTCATACCCAGAAAACCTTACTGGCTGTGGCCTATCTCCGAAAGTAAGAGATAGATACCAGAGGCGGCTATTGAGG